AGCACCACAGGTGACATGGGAATCACACCTTCACTGGCCAAGGTTCAAGGGTAGAAAGAGCAACAAGGTGCTCACAAGGTCGGCACTCAGCCTGCAGGCACTCCTACATGATGAGAGTTAGGGAGAGCCGAGTAAGAGAGAGAATGAGTAGCAATAATAAACGTGGACAAAGCTGGCCTAAAGTACACGCACAACAAATTTCAACTGTTTTTCCCCTTGCTTTCACATCTGGGCTCTGTGTGCGTGTGTGTGTGTGTGTGTGCGTGTGTGTGTGTGTGTGTGTGAGAGAGAGAGAGAGAGAGAGAGAGAGAGAGAGAGACTAATACTAAATGAGAAGGAAGTTTTAACCAAAACCATCACACACACACACACACACACACACACAAAATACCACGAATTAAATTGTAGAGTATTGAATTCTTTCTTAAAAGAAATATTTACTCAGTTAAAAAAATCTCCTACCTTGCCTCCATATACTTAATTTTTAAAAGTCATATAACATTTGGGACATGCCAAGAATGCATCAAAGACATGTACGTTCTAATGATACTGAATCCACTTGTGTGCTTTTACCCTTTGCCATATTTTTGTCTTTAAAATCTTGTATTCTTCTTCTCATTAAAGGTGAACATCACAGTAACCTTTCCTCCCCTTCACTGGTGAGATTGTTATCAGATATTGTTGATGGATTTTAAAAATACTATTAAAAACATTTTATTCTGAAAATTATCAAGCACATATAGAAGTAGAAAGGCTAGTAAAATGAACTCCCATTTGCCTGTTGCACTTCAACAACTATCAGTATGTGGCCAATCTTCTATTATCTTCTTCCCCCTCTCCTGCTGCATTACTTTGAAGCCTATCCCACACATCTCTCATATAAAGGTTTAGTATGTGTATCTCAAATTAAAAGCTGTTTTTAAAAACATAACTGTAGGGGTGCCTGGGTAGATCAGTCGATTGAGCATCTGACTTTGACTCAGGTCATGATCTCGCGTTTGTGAGTTCAGGCTCTGTGCTGACAGCTTGGAGCCTGGAGCCTGCTTCAGATTCTGTGTCTCCATCTTGCTCTCTGCCCCTCCCACACTCATGTTCTGTCTCTCTCTCTCTCTCTCTCTCTCTCTCCCTCTCTCAAAAATAAACATTAAAAAATTTTAAAAACGTAATTGTAGTACCATTAACAAACCTTAAACAATATTAATAATTTCTTAGTATCACCAAATATCCAGTGTTCAAATTTACCAGCTTGAGGGGCGCCTGGGTAGCTCAGTCGGTTAGGCAGCCGACTTCGGCTCAGGTCATGACCTCACGGTCCGTGAGTTCGAGCCCCGCGTCGGGCTCTGTGCTGACAGCTCAGAGCCTGGAGCCTGTTTCAGATTCTGTGTCTCCCTCTCTCTGACCCTCCCCCGTTCATGCTCTGTCTCTCTCTGTCTCAAAAATAAATAAACGTTAAAAAAAATTAAAAACAAAAAACAAATTTACCAGCTTGTCTTACAAATTTGTTGCAGTTGGTTTGTTTGAATTGGGATCCAAATGATGTCCACACATTGCATTTGATTGAGATGCTTCGTAAGTCTCTTTTAATCAAAGGTTAGTCATCCTTTGTTTTTTCCTTGGGCTTTCTGTGTAGATGAGTTCTGTGTCCTTGAGGGTCTCATCCTCGCTATTTTTTTTTTTTAATGTTTATTTTTGAGAGAGAGAGCGCGCATGCATGAGAGCGAGCTGGGGAGGAGCAGAGAGAGAGGGAGTTACAGAATCTGAAGCAGGCTCCAGTCTTCGAGCTGTCCGCACAGAGCTGGATGCGGGGCTTGAACTCACTGACTGCGAGATCACAACCTGAGCGGAAGTCAGATGCTTAACAGACTGAACTATCCCACGCTATTCTTATGGTGTTACATGTTTCTACATCCTCTGGTTGTACAGAAACATCCTCTGGTTTCTGCATCCTCAGATTTAGAGACTTCCTCAAATACAGGTTCTGTTTTTCTTAGCAGAATTCTTTCCAGGTGGGGCTGTGTACTCCCCATCGCATAACAGGTTGCAGCCATATGCTTTCCAACCTCACTATGGAAGGGGAGAGGTGAATAGAAACACAAGAGAGGGAGCCATTGTATCTGGGGTGGAGTTGACAGTAACCAGGCAAAGAAGACAATTATTTATTTTATTTATTTTTAATTTTTTTTAATGTTTATTTATTTTTGAGACAGAGAGAGACACAGCATGAACGGGGGAGGGTCAGAGAGAGAGGGAGACACAGAATCGGAACCAGGCTCCAGGCTCTGAGCCATCAGCCCAGAGCCTGACGCGGGGCTCGAACTCGCAGACCATGAGATCGTGACCTGAGCTGAAGTCGGACGCTCAACCGACTGAGCCACCCAGGCGCCCCAATTATTTTTGATAAAACGTTGAATGATTTTGGGTAAAATCTACTGAAGTATATTTACCTGGGTTCTGTTTTGCTGGAGGGTATCAAAATGCAGCGAGTGTGAGTCAGGTATAGCTGGAGACCCTCCCCCAGCGAACTTACATATACTGCCTCTAAAGGCACATCAGAGATACTTAGGAAAGGAGAGACAGCAGAAATGTATGTGATATAGGACATGTTCATGTTCTCTACTTGGAGCTTTTGATGACAGGAGAGATCATTTAAGCCGGGAGAGTCTGGGGGTCAATTAAGACCCAAAAGTTGGGAGGCAGAAGGAGAGAGGTGTTAGAGAATTAGTACCTGTGACCACAAAAGCAGCTAAGAACTAAGTGGAAGAGACGGTAACAGGAGACCCACATCATAAAAGTGGTCTGCAAGCACAAGGAAAATAGGTAATTATGAAAAGAGAGATTGAAAGAATTAAGTCAGTAATAAAATAAAGCGTAAATGCTTTCTAATTCTTTTAAGGCCTTGTTTTCTCTAGAAGTACTTTAGGATTTATACATAGAGAGTAAATTTAAATAAGGATGGGCTATTTTGCTAGATAAACAATGTCATCATTTCTTATAATCCATGATCTTTGCACTGTTGAAATCTATAAGGTATTTAGCTCCTAACAGAACATGGATGAAAGCGAACCTGGGACAAGAGCTTGGGAGATTTACCTTCAAAGCCTGGCTTTGGTTTCTGTCCTTTTTTCTTTATAATTTCACTGAGGCATATTTTATATATCACAGAACTCACCCATTCCAAGTGTATTTTTCAATGATTTTTAAAGTACATTTAGCGAGTTGTATGGCCTCACCATAAATCAGTTTTAGAACACTTTCTTCCTCTCAATAAAATCCCTTATGCCCATTTACAGTTAATCCTGTCCTAGTTCCTATTCCTGGTCCCAGGCAATTATGGATTTGCTTTCTATCTCTATAGATTCTCCTTCTCTGGACATTTCATACAAATGGAGTCAAGCAATGTGTGGTCTCATATATCTGGCTTCTTTTATTGAGATTAATGCTTTTGAGGCTCATCCCTGTTGTAGCATACAGCCGTAGTCCATTCCTTTTCACTGTGGAATATACCACGCTTTGTCTATCCATTTATCAGTTGATGGGCATTTAGAGGGTTTCTAGTTTGTAGCTATTATGAACGATTCTGCTAAAAGCATTCATTTGTAAGTCTTTGTGTGGACATATGTTTTCATTTCCCTTGGGTGCAGGAGTAAAATTACTAGATCTTATGGTAAATTGATGCTGAACTTTTTAAGAAACTACCAAACTTTTCCTAAGTGGCTGTACCAGCAACTGAGGGTTCCTCCTTCTCCTTGTCCTCCTAGTCCTACTTCTCAATAGCTGTGCAGCTTTGGGCTAGCTTTAGTTTCCTCTTTAATAAAAGCTGCAATGAGGAGCACCTGGGTGGCTCAGTTGGTTAAGCATCTGACTTCAGCTCAGGTCATGATCTCACAGTTTGTGGGTTTGAGTCCCGCACTGGGCTCTGTGCAGACAGCTCAGAGCCCGGAGCCTGCTTCGGATTCTGTGTCTCCTTCTGTCTCTGTCCCTTCCCTATTCACACTCTGTCTCTCTCTCAAAAATAAATAAACACTTAAAAATTTTTTAAAGACAAAAGCTGCAATAATGAGTTAATATTTCCCAAGTGCCTACTCAGCTAGAAGTTGTGATAGACACACTCACATTCTTTGTCTCACTTCTCTGTCTCCCCATGAAATGTAAGTATGACTTTCTGTGTATCTGATGAATTTACTGAGGTTCAGAGAAGTTAGGTAAGTTAGTCATCACTGTGATGCAGAATTGTCGCGAGTACTAAATTACATCACTTAGCATATGTGAACGTGCACAGCACAGTGCTGGGTACATAGAAGGTGGTTTGATGAAGAGATTTTCATTTCTCTGCTTCTTCCTATCATTCACATCTCACATGGGTCTAGGCACAGGGCCAGACCTACCCCAATTAAGCCCTACCTTTTCTCTGGGCTAGTTGCCTGTTCTAAAACACTTCCGGGACTCTGAAAACACTTTATAGGAATTTTCCTGGAGCCTCAACTGCTCTTGGGGCAGAAGTATCACAAAGTTCATCCGTACCCCAAGTAGCATAATCTTTGTTATATGAAAGAACAGGAGGGACTAGTTCGGGTTGGAGCTCTACCTTTCAATGGTTTCTTTTTATTCTCGTCTCGTCTTTCTCTCTCCACTCACAATGGTGGCACTTCCAATTCCAGAGAAGGGAGCTCTGAAAAAAAGTACCTAGGAATGTTGTCACAAGTTAACTGACTTGATTGCTTTGAAGTGTACCCATATCAGTTGGCTGGAAGATTGCATAAATGGCAATAAGAAGTGAAAACAAAGGGCGATAACATTCCCTTTGTCAAGTATAGGGAAGTGAGCTGATAGAAAAGGCCCCAATTAATATCTCAAATTCAAGGGTTTGGGTTTTAAAATATATTTTCTTACATGAAAGTTCATATGGAATATTGTTAATATGAAATATGACATTTTATATAAAATATACCACATAAAGCTTCACTTTAATCAGTGACTTGTCATTCATTGTGTCTTTTCAGGGAGAGCCTGGTGTCAGAGGCCCCCCAGGTCCCTCTGGGCCTCGGGGCATAGGAACCCAGGGGCCAAAGGTGAGTCTTAAATTCTGTGCTCTGTGTGAAGGTCAGGTACCAAGTGAACATTAACTTCATAGCAAATGTTTATTTTAGCGTTGACTTATTTTTTCTTGATTGCTGATGAAAAGTCTCAGTTTCTCATATTATGTGAGCTTTCAGTAAAATAGATCATAATTTCATAAAGCCATTTATTTCCCCCAAAGAAATTAGGAAGTGGTTGCAAAATGCTCAAAATATTTCCAGGTTTCTTAAAGGCTGTGCTCTCCTTAAGAAGCACATCTTCACTTTGGTCGGAGGCGCCTCTGCTGGCCTTTTAACAGAACACCTGCTAATGTATCTATTGTGACATATGTGCGTAGTCCACTCTGTTAGGGCCTCAGTGCAAGGGTCCAGATTTATTGCCCCCATAGAACATGAAAGAAACTGCCTCTGGATCCCTTTGCTCTGTTTTCTATTCCTCTTTCTTTTTCCAAGTCCATTTTGGTGATTATTCATCTTTCATTCTCTTAATCAAGTGTTTTTCAATGAGGGAGTTCTTGCCTTCCTGGTCTGCCCCCAGGAGACATTTGGCAATGTCTGGGATCATTTTTGGGTGTCACAACCAGGGAAGGGGTGCTACTGGCAGGTAGTAACTGGGGGCCCAGGATGCTGCTAAACATCATACTGTACACAAGATAGCACCCATCACAAAGAATTAGGCAGCTCAAAATGGCAAGAGTTCAGAGGCTCAGAAGCCCTGTTTTAACCATTGATTCACATGCCCGACAAAAAATTCTTTGATTTGTTCAAAAACTAAAATAAAAAAGTATCAGGCATGTTCATAGGGAAAACGGGCGTCAGGGAGCCTCTCATTACACATGCAAATTTCAAACATGTATATTCATGACCAAGATGCACAGAAATGAATGAGAGCCCCATTATCAGAGAGGAAAGGGAAAAGGCTCTATGAGTCAAAGATTTTTCTGAGGATCCCAGAATTACCACGATTCTTAGTTTATCCTTTTTTGTCCATCAACTTCATTCTGGCAGTAGGCGATTTCTTAACTTTATGGATCACTTGATATGGATGAAGACATACCCAAGATGTTAGTAGTTGTTATCACTGGGTGGTGGAAAGAGGGGTCCATTTTTCCTTCTTCATTGTTATCTTTATTTCTGTTTTTAGTTTTAGTTTTTGTTTGTTATTTTCTTCAAGTGAACAGGTGTTCCTCTTACAATCAGAAAATAAATAAAGCTTTTGCCTATAGTGGAAAGAAAAAAAGACTGACTTGTACTGTAACTTATGTTCATCCAGCCTTGCTCAAAAGTTTATTCCATCAAATGTTACTTTGGGAACTTCTGGAATAAGCAAAGTCAAACTAATCTCTCTATTGTGGGACTTTTTAGAGGCTTTAATATATTCATATAGGCATACCTTGGAGACACTGAGGGTTCATTTCCAGACCACCATAATAAAGCAAGTACCACACTAAAGAGAGTCAAATGAATTTTTTGGCTTCCCAGTGCATATAAAACCATTATCTTCTAGTCTATTAAGGGTGCAATAGCATTATGTCTAAAAAAGCCCAATGAATATACCTTAATTAAAAATGCTTTATGGCTAAAGATGCTAACCATCCTCTGAGCTTTCAGTGAGTTGTAATCATTTTGCTGGTAGAGGGTCTTAATTCCATGTTAAAGGTCACTGGCTGATGAAGGTGGGGGTTGCTGCAGGTTGTGACAATTTCTTAAAATAAGACAACAATGAAGTTAGCCACATTGATTGACTTTTCCTTTCACAAACGATTTCTTTGTAGCACGCGTTAGATAGCATTTTACCCAGAATAGATCTTCTTCCAAAATTGGAGTCATCTTCTCAAATGCTGCCACTGCTTTATCAACTAAGTTTATGCAATATTCTAAATTCTTTGTTTTCATTTCAGTAATTCTTCACATTTCCTACAACAAAATGTATTTCCTTTTTTTTTTTTTTTAATGTTTATCTGTTTTGAGAGAGAGACAGAGCACAAGCAGGGGAGGTGCAGCAAGAGAGGGAGAGAGAGAATCCCAAAAAGCTCCGCATTGTCAGCTCAGAGCCTGGCTCAGGCCTCAAACTCAAGAATCCCGAGACCATGACCTGAGCTGAAGTTAGATGCTTAACTGACTGAGCTACCCAGGTGCTCCACAAAATGTATTTCTTCTTTTTTTTTTTTAATGTTTATTTATTTTTGAGAGAGAGAGAGAAAGAGAGAACGCGCATGAGTGGGGGAGGGGCAGAGAGAGAAGGAGACACAGAATCTGAAGCAGGCTCCAGGCTCAGAGCCTGATGTGGGCATGAACCCATCCACTGGAAGATCATGACCTGAGCTGAAGTCGGGCTCTTAACTCACTGAGCCACCCAGGCACCCCTGTATTTCTTAAATAAGACTTAAAAGTCAAAATTACTCCCTGATCCATGGGCTGCAGAATGGATGTTGTGTTAGCAGGCATGAACACAACACAACTTTCATTGTCTGTCTCCATCAGTTGCTCTTGGGTGACCACAAGCACTGTCAATATTTTGAAAGGGATCTTTTTTCTTTTTTTTTTTTTCCTCAGCAGGAAACCTCAACAGTAGGTTTGAAATATTCAGTAAACTGTGTTGCAAACAGATGTCATTCGGGCATTATTGTTCTCCTTATAGAGCATAAGCCAAGTGGATTTAGCATAATTCTTAAGAGCCCTAGGATTTTAAAAATGGTAAATGATAACTGGCTTCAACTTCAGGTCACCAGCTGCATCAGCCCCTAATATTCTTGTGTCTCAGGGAATAGAGATGCCTGAGGAGAGGGAGAGAGACAGGAGAATGTCCCCATTGCTGGAGCAGTCAGAACACATACAACGTTTATAGATTAAGTTCGCTGTCTTATACGGGTGTGGTTCGTGTCCTCCCCCCCCCCCCCCCCCCCCCCATGAATTATGATAGTAACACCAAAGATCACTGATCAGGGGCACCTCAATGGTTCAGTCGGTTAAGCCTCTGATTTTTGATTTCAGCTCAGGTCATGAGCTCATGGTCCTGAGATCTAGCCCTGTGTTGGGCTCTGCATTGTGTGTGGAGCCTGCTTAAGATTCTCTCTCCCTCTCTCTCTCTGCCCCTTGCTTATGCACATGCTCTCTCTCCCTCTCTCTTTGCATCTCATTTATGCACATGCCTGCTCTCTCTCTCAGAAAACAAATAGAATTTCTTAATAAGTGGGAGACAGAACAGATCCTGCTAGGGATTCTCTCTCTGCCCCTCCCTAGCTTGTTCTTCCCCCTGCCCCCCAAGATAAAAAAAAATCAACTTAAAAAAAAGATCACTGATCAGAGATCACCATAACAAATATAATAATAATGAAAAAGTTTGAAATATTGTGAGAATTACCAAAACGTGACAGAGACAGGAAGTTAGCAAATGCTATTGCAATAATGGCACGGGTAGACTTGCCTGACACAGGGTTGCCACAAGCCTTCAATCTGTAAAAGATGCAGTGTCTGGGAAGCACAAGAGCGAAGCACGATAAAACAAGGTATGCCTGTATGCACTAGGGATCTCCAAGGAGAGGCACACACGGTGGGATAGAACATTTTCCAATCTCATTTGACCACAGGAGACTTTCCCCAAGAAGCGTGGGGTTAACTTGTGCTGCAGAATGCACACACTGGGCAATGCTACACTTTCTGCTTCATTTGCATATTTTCTTAAAAGTTCGATACTGTATCACTCAGCAATCAAAAAGAATGAAATCTTGCCATTTGCAGCTACATGGATGGAACTGGAGGGTGTTATGCTAAGTGAAATCAGTCAGTCAGAGAAAGACAAATATCATATGACTTCACTCATATGAGGGCTTTAAGAGACAAAACAGATGAACATAAAGGAAGGGAAACAAAAATAATATAAAAACAGGGAGGGGGACAAAACAGAAGAGACTCATAAATATGGAGAACAGACTGAGGGTTACGGGAGGGGTTGTGGGAGGCGGGATGGGCTAAATGGGTAAGGGGCATTAAGGAATCTACTCCTGAAATCATTGTTTCACTATATGCTAACTAATTTGGGTGTAAATAAAATTAAAAAAAAAAAAGTTTGATACTGATCCACTGAACCTTTCACTGCAAGCCCGGTGAATAGCACTCCATGTTGAAATGGAACAACACATTGGAGGCTACACAGAATTATGTGTGAGCAGCCTTCACACCCCTGGTGTTCTAGGGGTTGGTGGTAGGTTCAACCAGAGGAGCCCAAGCAGACAAGGTGACTGGGACAACACTCGTCTTCGGTCAAGCAGCCCTGCCCTGCCTCTTTACTTACATTTGGATTATGTGTAAGATTTTCACAAAGGATTCTGTGGCTTAAAATTTTTGGAAAAACACTGCTTTATAAAAAAATATGATCTAGCTTGTGGGGTGCACAGATGCAGGTCCTGACAGGACTGAAGGAAGGAAGGAAGAAGGAAGACAAGAGCAGAGATACATTGCTTCTTCCTAAATCTCCTCATGTTTCTCTTTGGTTTCTCTTCATCTTCCAACAGGGAAATATTGGGCAGAAAGGCCTGCCTGGCCCTCCTGGCCCCCCTGGCTACGGATTACAAGGAATTAAAGTAAGTGGATGTGATCGCACGAGAGTCATCTCTCAATTCGCCAGAACGATGAGAAAAGAGGTTATGGATAATATAAAAACATGACTATAATGAAATGAATTTAATATAAGCTTAGCGGGTAAAATTACCTCCAGTACTTTAGAGACACAATCCAGAAGTGTATAAATGGTGTAAGTACATTGGTTTTCATGAACACTAGACATTACATAAATTGCTTGGTGAAATTTGTTACAGTAGGTTTGTTGTTCTTGCTGATCTCTGAGCTGAGTGGAGAATTTATGCCCAGCTGTGTGTTCTCTCTCTCTCTCTTACCTTCCTCAACTGTATCTTCCATTCTTAGCCTAAGATTTCCTAGTCTTAGCTCACAGTGGAACTGCCTGGGGAACTTCATGAATAATACTGACAACCTACCCCAGAAGAATGAAATCTGAATCTCTCGGGGTAGTGCTTGGATACTGTGGGCTTAAAAGCCCCCCAGGTGATTCTCCTGAGCATCTGGGGTGAGAACCGTGGCTCTCAACCCTGAGTCTGTGTTATTGGAATCCACAGCCACCTATATTCTGCTGTATTTCTGTCTCAGCAGCAATAAGCCCATCCAGCAAGGTGCAACTCCCAGGGTGCCCCATGTCTCAGCAGACAAAATTTGGCATCTAATGGTTGCAATGTAATTTCAAACAATTTCCTTTTCTACATCTCCTATGTTCACTTATTATTTTTAATTTTTGTTTTTTACTCATTCACATTGTAGTTTCTCCCTAAAAAACTTCTATTGTTTTTACCACAGTTAAACTTTGAAACTGAGTAATTCATCCCCTGCATAGTTGGTATTGACTCTTAAAAATTGAAACGTTCGGGGCGCCTGGGTGGCGCAGTCGGTTAGGCGTCCGACTTCAGCCAGGTCACGATCTCACGGTCCGTGGGTTCGAGCCCCGCGTCGGGCTCTGGGCTGATGGCTCAGAGCCTGGAGCCTGTTTCCGATTCTGTGTCTCCCTCTCTCTCTGCCCCTCCCCCGTTCATGCTCTGTCTCTCTCTGTCCCAAAAATAAATAAACGTTGAAAAAAAAAAATT